GAATTCTTTACAAGCTATTGGAGTTATCTGGTGAAACTGCATTTATAACGCAATATATATCACAGTAAATTAAACTATTGCAGTGTCAGATTTTTGCAATATTGTGCAGCCATAGGTTTAAGTAGTATACTTTGTAGTCTAACACATCTCTCTCTCTCTCTCTCTCTCTCTCTCTCTCTCTTTCTCTCTCTCTCTCTTGCAGTGGCAAGTGCAAAGCAGACTGTATGTTAGTTATAAAACACCAGACGAGATGTCTACCTGTCAGGGTCAAACTGTCCTGTGTTTCTGCCTAGACCCCTGTAGTTCTGCATCTCCAGAGCACGATGCTCATCCCTCTTTGTGAGGTAATTCCTCTCCAGCTGATCCTGCGCTTCCATCATGCTCTTAAGTACCTACACAGAGATTCATCCAACAACTTTTACTTTTTTACCAATTATGCCTTACATTGTTATATTTACATTGCAATGCACAATGTATTTTTCGCAATTCATGATATACAGTTGAAGTCAGAATTATTAGCCCCCCTGAATTATTAGCGCCCTTGTTTATTTTTTTTCACTAATTTCTGTTTAATGGAGGGAAGATTGTTTCAGCACATTTCTAAGCATAATAGTTTTAAAAACCTATTTCTAATAACTGATTTATTTTATCTTTGCCATGATGACAATAAATAATATTTCACTAGATATTTTTCAAGAAACTTCTATACAGCTTAAAGTGATATTTAAAGGCTTAACTAGGTTAATAAGGTGAACTAGGCAGGTTAGGGTAATTAGGCAAGTTTTTGTATAACGATGGTTTGTTCTGTACACTATTGAAAAAAAAAAATTCTTAAAGGAGCTAATAATTTTGTCCCAAAAATGTTTTATAAGAAATTAAAAACTGCTTTTATTGTAGCCAAAATAAAACAAATAAGACTTTTTCCAGAAGAAAAAATATTTTCAGACATACTGTGAAAATGTCCTTGCTCTATTAAACATCATTTGGGAAATATTATAAAAAGAAGAAAAAATTTAAATGAAGGCTAATAATTCTGACTTCAACTGTATATACACTTACCATCTGTTGCTCCTCCACATTCATTGACATAGTGGTGACGCACATTTTGAATTCATCTACCTGTAAAGAGAAATGATACAGATGCATCACTTTACATCATACAGAAGATGTTTGGTATTTGTAACAGGGTTGCACCTTCTCTATAAATGATCGAATGATGTCTCGGAGCTCTGAGGTCAGTCTCTCTCCATCTGTCAGGCTTTGAGATTCTGTCTCCACAGGCTGAGAGCCCTGCAGGCTAAACTGCTTCTCAGTTGGGCCTGTTGAACATATACTTGAGATATTAGGGAAAAGGACACAAAATGCACCTGTTATATGTCTAAATAAATGTAATTACATACATAATCTAAACACAACTCAACTCACACACATTAACTTGTTCACTAACTTGTTTGTCTTGTAACACTTTCTGTCCACACAAAACTATAAGTTCTGTCATTCTAAAAGTGTAATTTCTTTTAAAGAACATAAAAAACAAGATTCATGCAGTAAGTAACCTTATAATAAATTATATTATATTTTTATGCAATAGAAGTGCACATTTGGTACAGAAATGTAATTTAAAAAATGTTCACAAACTTTCAACACATTTTCTTTTATGTTTCATAATAAAAGAAAGTTATACAGGTTTGGAAAGTTGTGAGGGTGAGTAAATATTGACAGAATTGTCATTTTGGGTGAATTATGCTTTGAAGTATAAACAATACTAATAACGGATGTCCTCTCAAACATTTTTCTTGTTGCACTCTGCAACTGCTGAAGAAGCTCAAATTTCCCAGGCAGGGTTTCTCTGCTGCCAGGGTTACACTGTAGCACAGTATTCAGCTGGAGAAATAACACAATGGCCTCTTGCCTGTGGTTGGTGCCTGCGGGTTATTTGCTGTCAGTTTGGTGTTGTCAGTGTTGTTAGTTGCCTCATTCCAGTCGATGGTCACAGAAGGCTCACTGGAAGTGTGAATCTGCTGCTTAAAAAAAGCCACATTATAACACAATACAAAAGTAAATTAGAGCTAAAGTGAGATTATTGTTGAGGGCTGCACAATAAAACGCTTCAGCATAACATCAATTTCAAGTCCAAGTTTACCAGGCACCGCAGTTTGGAACAGATATCTGTGAATTAATTTCAAAACTGTACTATAATCATACCTGTACCATAATGCATGCATTAAAGCCTAAATATAAAAGTTTAAAGAATTCAAATACAAGACCCAGTAACATTACTTTTAACATATATTATTTGTAGTTAGTTTGGTAAAGTCTATGCAGTGCTATTTGTACATTTGATTATTCCATTTCGGTACTGTCTGTATATGAGAGGTTTAATATTTAAAGCATAATATATAAACCTGTTGTGGTGTATTTAGTTTGAGAATATTAGGATATACATATAAACATCTAAATATGGAATTCATATTTTAGAACTAATAAAAGATCCAACAACAAAAACTCTTACAAGTCTCACCTGACCAATTAGGTTTTCGTCTTCTGTGTATTTAGCAAGCAATCTGTCATATTCCATCTGTAAACAAATAAAAAGATCATCTTTCAGATAATTGAAGATAGAAGTTCAGCATTATTCTTTTTCCAGCGCTACAAAACATTAATAAACATAAACACTGGCATTAGTGTGCTTAAAACTGTTAAAATTTTCTTAGAAGGTTTACTGCATGAACTTAATCTTGTAAAAGCCTTCTTCTGTGAGTATATATATATATATATATATATATATATATATATATATATATATATATATATATATATATATATGTATGTTTTATATTTGTATTTTATATGTATATTTCTTATACAATTGAAGTCAGAATTATTAGCCCCCCTTTGATTTTTTGATTTTTTATATTTCCAAAATGATGTTTAACAGAGCAAGGAAATTTTTACAGTATGTCTGATAATATTTTTTCTTCTGGAGAAAGTCTTATTTGTTTTATTTTGGCTACAATAAAAGCAGTTTTTAATTTTTTAAACACCATTTTAAGGTCAAAATTATTAGCCCCTTTAAGCATTTTTTTAATTGTCTACAGAACAAACCATCGTTATACAATAACTTGCCTAATTACCCTAACCTGCCTAGTTAACCTAATAAACCTAGTTAGACCTTTAAATGTCACTTTAAGCTGTAAAGAAGTGTCTTGAGAAATATCTAGTGAAATATTATTTACTGTAATCATGGCAAAGATAAAAGAAATCAGTAATTAGAAATGAGTTGTTAAAATTATTATGAGGACGACGTGGTGGTGCAGTAGGTAGTGCTTTAGCCTTACAGCAAGTTGGTCGCTGGTTCGAGCCTCGGCTGGGTCAGTTGCCATTTCTGTGAGGAGTTTGCATGTTCTCACCGTGTTCGCGTGGGTTTCCTTCGGGTGCTCTCGTTTCCCCAACAGTCCAAAGACATGCGGTACAGGTGAATTGGGTAAGCTAAAATTGTCTGTAGTGTATGTGTGGGAATGAGATTGTATGAGTGTTCCCCAGTGATGGGTTGCAGCTGGAAGGGCATCCACTGCGTAAAACATATGCTGGATAAGTTGGCGGTTCATTCCACGGAGGTGACCCCAGATTAATAAAGGACTAATCCTTAAAGAAAATGAATGAAAATTATTATGTTTAGAAATTTGTTGAAAAGATCTCTCCGTTAAACAGAAATTGGGAAAAAAATAAACAGGGGGCGAATAATTCAGCGGGGTTAATAATTCTGACTTCAACTGTATATAAAATATATATTTACATATCAGTCTTTTTATTAAATTTTTTACTTGTGTGTATACATTAATTTTTAATTAAATTAAAGTTTAAAGTTTTTAATATCATGTAGTGTATACGAGGTAAAGGGAAAAAATGAAAAGAAAACTAATTCAGGGAAACTGGGAATTTTTATTTAAGTTTTTTATTTATTTATAAGTTTTATTATTCAATAAATAGGTTGTATGTCTTGTTCATTTCTAAATAGTTCAATTTGTTGGAAAAATCGTATTGTGAGATCAGTATCATGAACTGTATTGAGCTGAGCTGAGTGAATCATTACATCCTTACTAGTAGCTACCATTTGTCTTCAAACCTTACTATCTAGCCCGGTGTTTCTCAACCACGTTCCAGGAGGATCACCAGCTCTGCACATATTCCATGTCTCCTTAACTAAACACACCTGATTCAGAACGTCAGCTCATTAGCAGAGACTCAAAGACGTGGGAGACTTCATCCAAAACATGCAGTGTTGGTGGTCCTCCAGGAGCGTGGTTGAGAAATCTGCATATTACACCGACAGTAAGATATAGTCACCTGTAATTTATGTGCCACTTCCTTGTCTGCGAACACGTTCTCTGGTGCCATGATGGAGTCCTCTAAAACCCTGCTGATGACGTCTACTTTAGCCGTACAGGAGGAGCCAGATTTACCCAGGGACGACTGGGTTTGTGCCATAGCCAATGACTGGCTGACTGGCTTCACACTTCCATTAGCTTTAGGTATTTTGACTTTAGGTGCCACTTTAGAGAAGTCAGGCAGTGGGTAATGCACCTTTCCCTGTCCATATTTCAGCTCACCATAGGACCTGCTCCTGCTGAAGGAGAACTTTGGTTTCAATGCATCTGCATTAGACAAATCTAAAGAGTTCGTACTGCGGCTCTGCTCCTTATCATTATCATTATCTTCATCCATAACCAATGCAGCATCACTAATGCAAGACATTACAGGTTCCTTAGGTAAACTCGACTCATTCGAAATGCCTTCTTCAACCAGTTCATGGCTTTCAGCAGGATCTGTCTCCTCAATCACATCTTGAATCTTCTCCATGTCTCCTATGCAGATCTGTGAAGCTTTGCTGAGCACAGTTTCATCAATGCTCTCCATCAAAGACATCTCCGGCAGGGTCTCAGCTTCGATGATCCTGCTTGAGTTCAGCAGCTCCTCTTTTGAGAAGTGTCTGAGCAGGAGGTCAGAGATGCGGTCTGAAGGTTGAGTGGGCGTGGTAACAGGAGGAGCCAAACAGTCTGCTGTTTTATGATTGGATGGAAGAGCGTGAGTAAGATTAGATTGGCAAGCCACTGTTTCTTCTGCATGACCGATTTGCATATTAAACTTATCAAGTGTTTGCCTTGGTGTAACCGTTTCACATGGAGTTGATTTTAAATTCATCTCAGTTTTGTGTGCACCATCATATGGGAGATCTTCATGTTCTTCATCACTAGTGTTGACAGCATCATCCTCATGTGTTGCAATGACTGGCTTTACTGTAGTGCTGAGTTTCTGCATTGGTGCTTTGGTTATATTTCCCCTCCTCTTTCCAGGGTTTGAATGCTCTGTGTGTTCACTACTGACTGATTCGAGAGTCTCTGAGGATCCCTCTTCGGTTTCACATGACTCTGACTGCTCTGCATCATCTGGACACAATATAACAAGAGGTTAAGTTTACATAACATAAGTCTCTATGTTATAAGTAAGAAATAAGTATATTTGGAGGGCGCCATAGCTACCTACGTCTTTCGGTAGGATGCTTAGAACTTCTGTATTCAGCGTTTACAACAGGTAAATCTTGATTCGAAAATGGTTGCCAATACCGTTTTGGGTGGCTTACGGAGTGTTTTTGTGATCCACAACTTTGATTTTGAACAGAGTGTGTTAAAGCCGTAATACTTTTGTCAGATGCGGATCAAACGCGAGAAAAAAACATTCTTTTAATTCCGTGTCTGCTGTCAGATCAGATGCTGAAATACAGCATCAGTATTGCCGTCCTGTCTGCTGTTATACTGTACTCTATGGCTCTTCAATGCACACACACACAGCACATCACTGCAATATAGAGCAAACCATATTACTTTGTGTACTCTTTCGAACAGATGTTGTTTTTTGATCCTATTAGAGTGCATTTTTTTATATTTAGTCCAGTAGGAGGCGCTGATCGACATCATTATTAGTTCAAAGATGTTAGAAGCAAGTAAAATAGATTAAAATATAGTTTAAAAGCTGTCCGAATGTGACTGTTGAAACGCATCAAGCTGCCAAGCAGAAGTTTAAAGCATCCTCCTTGCGCATACCCACAAAGCATAATGTAGTTTTGAGTTCTAAGAAAAAGGTCTATATATGCCAACTAGGGAGAGATCTTCACTGATGGGCGGGGCTTTACCCCTCTGATGACACGTACAAAGGGAGAATGTCAATCAAAGTGTTTTTGCAGACTATTTTTATGAAGTCTGATTATAAAAAATAGAATTAAATAATTTGTATTATTAGATGAAGGCTATATTCACACAATGTTGCCACTCAACTGTGTTTATACACCTTATAAAAGTGTTTTTGCATAATAGGTCCCCTTTTAGGTTGCTAATTTGCTTTGAATTTAAAGCCATTTAGATGAGACTGAATACACTACCTGACAAAAGTCTTGTTACCAAGTTTTA